GTCATTTCTCTTAGCTATTGTGAATCGTGTGATTATGACATTCAAGTAAACATTTTCTGCCTGCACAGTTTTGAGTTCTTTTGGTCAATACCTGGGGTGTGTGCATTATTCTATCAGTTCATTTGGAAGGCTTGAAACTTTTTTCTCTAAAGAAATGCATTCAGAAACAAGCACAAGAGGAAAGAAAAATGCGATCAGAGAAAACGGCACGTGGCCAGGGCATCGTGACTTGGGATTGAGGCCTTGGATTGGGGTCGGGGTGGGGGTGGGGCGGCAGGGTGGCAGAGAGAGGCGGAGCCTGGCACAGGGGCGCAGGCAGGCAGCCTGCTGTCCGGGTGAGCCCGGCCTCGCTGGGAGCGCACTGGGAAGCCGCTGGGGAGGCGCTAAGCGGGAGGCCCACGATCCGATTGGCGTCTTAGAGAAATTCCTGCGCCGTGGCGGCCAGGCAGCAGAGCGAGCGGAGGGCGCGGGGCAGGCGCAGGGGAGAGGCCTCCGGATCCCTCTGCCGCACCCCAGGTCCATCGCGTCCCCTGGGGTTGAGCATGTCCCGCGCTCCCCACCAGGCCTCAGCGAACCCCACCGCACAGCACCTCCGCGCGCTGTCTGGAGCCAGGGCCTTTGCACTTGCCACGCCCCTGGATTTGCGAGAACCCCCTTCCCTCCTGCGACTCAGAGACACCCTCGCTGTCCCACACTGAGCCTACCGTGCCTGCTGCCCCCGCCCCCCAGGAGAGGCCCGCACGCAGCGAGCGTGACTTGCTGCTTAGTAAAGAGGAATCCGGAGTCGGGGGCATGCTTGGCACTGAGATGGGGTCACCCTGGAAAGGCGCGGGCTGAGGGGGCGTGAGGGGCACAGAGGGGCTCCTTGGGCCTGTGGTCTGCAGCTCCACGGACAGGCGTGGCTCATGACGGTGCCTGGGCAAAGCCCTCGGTCCCGCGGCCTCAGTGAGCACCAGGCAGAGGCTACTGCGGGGACAGAGGCGGTGCAGCCCCCGCCTTGCTCCGCCATGCAGAGGCCGCTGTGTGTTCTTTCCTACCCGCTCCCTCTCCCCCAACAAGCTTATCACCCTGGAAGACCAGCAACATCCTTACACCCGGGATGTGATCTCCGTGGCATCCCCAGGAATAAACTAGTAAGAGAATAAAAGTCGGGGGTCGTTAGAGCAGCAGACCGTGACTGCTACACGCACAAGCATGATCTGCAGCCAGTCACGGTGCGCACGCACGCCTGTGATCCCAGCACTTGCGAGGCCAAGGCAGGAGGATCACCATGAGTTCGAGGCCAATCTTGGCCAGTGAGCTCAAGGCCAGTCCGAACTGCATAGTGAAGAACTTGTCTTTAAAAAAAAAATTGGAACAGGTAAACAGAAAGCATAAATTGTGTTTTCTTCTGACCTAGCCAGGGAGTTAAAAGCTGCTTTTGCTTCAAAGCACAATGACTGCACTTGTGCCCACGGGAGCCCCGGGGGTGATGCCAGCAGGACAGCTCGGCAGCTCCGCCTCCTGCATTTTGTGCCGGCTGCGTTCCGTAGGGTCAGATCCCTGCGCAGCCCCGTCTGTCTGGGAAACGCTCATGCAGATGTCTTCACCCCAGGCTTACCTGACCTGCCGCATGCGCCTTCAGGACCCGGGACACCAGCATAAGAGACTCGAGGGCACCGGCTGCCAGCTCCGAGCCTGGAGCGGGTGCCCACGGCCCCCAGACATTGCCCTAAATTCAGCCCCTTGGGCCCCAGCAGAGCCTGGCAGACCCAGGACTGCCCCACACAGACGCAGCCGCCGGGGCACCGACGGCCTGAGGGCTCCTCTGGGCCCGAGGCCGGTCAGCACCTCCTCCCGTGACACCCAGGTCTGCCCTCCTCCGTGGGGCCCCAGCTTCTGGGCCGCAGCCCCCTCCCCACCCCACTAACTGCCCAGCTCTGCCCCCGAGCCAGCCTGGCCTCCCACTCACAAAGGGGTTTTCAGGGAGACATGTCCTGAAACTCTCTTTTGTGACAAAAGTCAAGATTGCACAGTGGCCCGATTGAAGCGCCCATCTCTTTCGGGGGAGCTCCTGGGCCCCGTCAGGGCCACCACAGAAGAGGTCCTGGGTCCAGCCCTGCGCCCAGTGGGTGAAGCGCTACAGGGGCCGAGGCCCTGTGGAGGAGGGCGGAGGGGAGCCTCAGTCCTAGCCCGCTGTTGCCTCGGCAACCCTGGCACCTTTCCAGGCACTGCTCCGGGCTGAGCATCTCCCAGAGGCCTCAGGGTGGGCGGGCCTTGCGCCTGGGGGCGGGGTCTGTATCTAAGGGGCGGGCCTATTTCTCAGACTCGTCACTTCGCTCCCGGAGGGAGTGTGATTCCTGGCTGATCTTGCTGGAGTGGAGAGGGCATCTCTAAGGTGCTGTGTCCCCGGGGCGGCTTTGTTTCACAGGGTGGGGCCTGTTCAACTGGAAATTGTGAATGTCTGCCAGAGTCTTCCTTGTGTGACATACTCCTGTGTTGGTCTCTCAGTATGTCTCCTTTCTTATTATTTGGCACTGGGGCTTGAACTCAGTGCCTTTGCATTGAGCTACATTCCTGGCCCTTTTTGTTTTGAAACAGGGTCTTGCTAAACTGCTAAATTGCCCAGGCTGGGCTTGAGCTTGGGATCCTCCTGCCTCAGCTTCCTAAAGTGCTGGATTTATAGGCCTGCACCACCACACCCAGTTCCCTTCTTAAATGTTTTTTTCCCTTGTGAAATCTGAGATTCATAACGTGCATACTACAAACAAGTCATTATAAAATGACCTCTGTGTTAAGAAATAGGGTGCCCCAGGTACCCGCAGTCAGCTTTTCTGATGCCCAGCAGCTTCACCATCCCACCACTCCCCTGAGTGCCATGCCAGGGTCCTTCCTGCTTTTCTGTAGGACTCACTGCCACGGAGCACCCTAACAAGGCCACGTTTCCGTTCCGCTTGCCCCTGCATGCTCTATTACTGGAACACACACGTGTTCTCAGCCCCGGCTTCTTGTGCATGGCTCCTTCGTGATTCCACGCAGGTAACTGTGTATGCTCCCTCATTCTCACTGTACTTGCACTATTCTGCAGCCTCACAGCTGGGTGTGGCGGTGGACACCTGTCATCCCAGCACTCAGAAGGCTGAGGCAGAAAGATAGCCATGAGTTCAAGGCCAGCCTGGATTGCATAATGGGCTCCTGCCTAAATTACACAGCAAGAGCCTGTCTCCAACAAAACAAATCAGCCCAAAATATATCCCAACACACCTTCATCACCCTCCGTGTGTGTGTGGGGAGGTGGGCACACGAGCACACAGCATGGGACCAGCCCAGCGCATGCTAGGCACATGCCCAGCACTGAGTTACACCCGGCCCCGTGGGGTGTGCGTTCCGCTGCAATGCCTGGTCTGATTCATCTCCTGCTGCCGAGAACCGAACTCCCTCCGGGTTTGAAAGCAGAGGAACTGCAGCAGCCGCGCAGGCGACGCCGTCCCTGACCTCACAGCACGAGCGTGTCCACTTGGCCTCGGAAGCTGACAAAGCTGGGTCAGCACGACCTCCGATGAGACGCCCAGCCTGGCCACCCCACCTGCAGCGGCACAGCCTGGCTACTCGCCTTCCCGGCTGCCTTCTGAGCAATTGTGACCCTCTGAGATTGCCTTTTTCAGCATTGATTCCACTATAATCACACACTGGAATATGAAGGATTGGGGTTATTGTCTATGCGGTGTGATAAAAATATGGTGTTTACATAAAAAGCACACATGCCCCAAGGTCCTCGTCACCTCCTGGAGCAGCCCTGGGGTCCTCTTTCACGAGTGTTTGGTTGTGGCTGCCTTATGTGCTGAGTAATTCAAGATGTCTCCCTCTCATGATCATTGACTTTGGGGGAGAGCCAGAGGCTCACGGTGCCAGGCCCTGAGAGCAAGGCAGAGGACACAGCACGTCTCCAGGCGCCTGCCCTTTTTTTTTTTTTTTTCTGTTTTTTTCTCTGGTACCAGGAACCGAACTCACAACCTTGCGCTTGCCAGGCAGCGCCTGCCCTTTCTTCAGAGGGGCAGCAGGACCCGTATTTCTGATTGCATCTCATCAAAGAGGACTTCTCCAACTGCTTCAGAAAGTGGCCACACAATGGGTTGTGTTTCCAAACGAAGGGGGAAGAACCCAGTGTGGTGGTGCACGCCTGTAACCCCAGCACGCGGGAGGCTGAGGCTGGAGGATCACTGCGAGTTTGAGACCAGCCTGAGCTACAAAGCGAGCTCAAGACCAGCTTCAACTGCATAGTGAGACCCTGTCTCAGAAAGACAAAAAAAAGGGGGAAGATTTGAAGGGGTTCATGCCAATGTGTCTTTTACTGTGACCCACTGTGCTGAGGGTGTCCCGGTTCTATGGGTCCAAGCAGGGACTCAGGTGGACCTGGCCAGTTCTTCCTTACCCTTCCGGCCTCAGATCAATTTCAAACGCAAATCTTGAAAGGAGCAGGGCCCTTTAATTCCAGTGTCTCTAAGGAGACAGTTTGGTTCCCAAGGGGCATGTCCTGCAGGATTGCAGGTTCAGGCAGTCTGATTTCTAGGGGCCATGTCCATCTACTGTCCATGGATCTTGTACTCAAGGGACAGAATTGTACCATTTAGGTGAGACCTAAACCATTCTGATCTAAGGGACTCAAAGCACGGCCTAAAAAGATTCAGACACTTCAGAGCTGGGCGTGGTGGCAAACCCCTGTAACCCCAGCTATTCAGGAGGCTGAAGCAGGAGACTCACAATTGGGCGTTGGAGGCCAGCCTGGGCAATTTAGCGAGTTCCTGGCTCAAAATAAAACCAAGGGCTGGGGAAGTAGCTCAGGGGTAGAGTACCTGCCTAGCATGTAGGAAGACCTAGGTTCAGCCTCCAGCACCACCAAAGGAAAATAAACTTCTCTGAGAAAAGCCAGGACCTGTCTCTAATTTAGAGGCCTACTCTAAGTTCGGGAGAGATGCCCCCCTCATCCCTCCCCCCCCCAGGGTCGAACCAGGAGACCATAGTGACTGACAGGATGAGGTTTATTGGGGCCCTGGAGACACTGGGCAGGGGAAGAGGCGCGAGGTGGAAGCTCTTGCGGGGGGGACCCCAGCCAACTTCCCCTTTCCCTTTGGGGTTGGGAGGGAGTCAAGAGACAGACACGCTGACGGAGACGGAGAGAAAGGCCGACAGGTGCTATGGTAGAGACGGGAAGCCGGGTGTCTGCCACCTCCCGGATGAGGTCACAGGTTGGGGACTATCTGGACCGAGCTGCATTCTATGGGATATGGGGCGTCTCTCCTACTGGATCAAAGCAAGCGGCCGGCACGAGCCGAAGGGCCCGCAGCTGGGTAGGGCGCGGCCTGCTTCAGTCCATCCTACTGGGCGGGGTGCTGGACCAGTCTACTAGAGTGCTCGGGGTGGGGTGCTCTTAGGGCCGATCCATTCCGCAGAGGGGAGGGTCATGAAGGCGGGGCGTCTACCCTGGTCCTCTTTCAGCAAGGGGAATGAAATGGGGGAAGGCAGATTACGGCTATATCCATCTTCTGGGGCCACTGCGGGCTGGTGGGTACGTCTGGAGGAGATCCGGGCGAGCTAGGGGACGCGGTCCCTGCAGTCCCCAGCCCCAGGTCGCCGAGACGCCCTGGGGGTGCCCGCCGTGGTACTGGAGGAAAGGTTCTCGCGGAGACACGCACTCCTCGGTGCCCGCGTGCCGGGGGCCTGTGTGTCGGGGCGGCCCGCCGGGGAGGCTCGGGTTCCCGCAGGCTGGCTCAGTCCATGCCCCGGTGAAGCTTCAGGTGCCGGGAGAGGTTGCTGAGCGTGATGAAGCCCTTGCCGCACACGTGGCACGGGAAGGGCCGCTCGGCGCCGTGCAGCAGGCGGTGGCGCTTGAGGTAGCACTCGTGGCGGAAGAACTTGCCGCACTCGAGGCAGGGGAAGGGCTTCTCGCCCGTGTGCACCAGCACGTGGCGCTCCAGGTCGCGCGGCGAGCGGAACAGCTTCTCGCACTCGGAGCAGCCGAAGATCCTCTTGCCGCGCGAGCTCCCCGGGGCGCGCTGCCCGGGCG